TGTGTGTGTATATTCTCAACAACAGCAACAAAATTAAATTATAGTTTAAAAAATGACCTCCAGTGGAAGATAATTTTCCAAAGTGGGAATCAAGGGTCACCTGCTTTGATGTTATATCTTCAGAATCTGTAACCTCAGACTTACTGACTCAGAATGTCTGGGGATGGAATCCTGGAACTGGCATTTTTAACAAACTGCCTGGTGACTTGGATGATTACTGAAGTTTGGCTTCTATTATGTAAGAGGCAAAGCTAGAATCTAGTAGGTTCACTGTTATTGTTGTTGTTAAGTGCCATTGAGTTGGTTCCAATACATAGCGAACCTGTATATGGTTTCCCAGGAGCAGCTGGTGAGATTGAACCACTGACCTTGCAGTTCAAATGACTTTGCATCCAGCGCATTGACCCATAGTGCCACACCAGAACTTGTAGGTTCTATATAAGGCTTCAAGTGGTGGTGGACAACTGCTCTTTTGGATTATGGGGGAAGAACAAAGTACAGGAAGTGCAGTACTGGACTGCTGACCTCCCTTCCCTGTGCACTTTGCCCGTTAGTTACTGTTACTGATGGGAAGAGATGTAGAAATAATAAAATAGTTCTGTATCAGATTTAAAAAACAAAATAAAAAAATTCCCAACTACCACTGGCCTCCTCATGTATAAAAATATTTAGATAATTCTGATCTTGCATACAATCATCCATCTAATTTTGAATTCTAGAGCTTCATGGAAATGATTTGAATATTTCAAGATGGGTAACAATAGGAGCAGGTTGTGAAATGTCAGTGCAAGCATGCCTCGCTTTATTGTATTTCACAGATCATGCATTTTTTTACAAATCCAAGGCTTGTGGTAGCTCTGCATTGAGCAAGTCTACTGACGCCATTTTCCCCCAATTGCATGTGCTCGCTTTGTGTCTCTGTGTCACGTTTCGGTAACTCTGGCAATATTTCAAACATTTTCACAATGCTCTTGCACACTTAATAGACTACAGTATAGTGTAAAACTTTTCTATGCACTGGGAGACCAAAAAATTCATGTGACTCATTTATTGCCATATTACCTTTATTGAAGTTGTCTGGGGCCAAACCCACAATATCTCTGAGGTATGCCTGTATTTCACTTTGCCAGATGGAAGAACAGTTATTAAAGGACTGAGAGCCAGTCAGAAAAGTCCACAAGCTGAGAAAAGTCCACAAGCTGAGAAAAGTCCCCAAGGCCAGTGGCTGTGAACAGCAGGCCTTACACCTTCAGCCAAAAGCAGCTCAGGAGTCTGCAGGAAGTCCACTCTATGCTGACACAAATTGTGGGGAGAAGCCAAGTAAAACCATTTCCTCCCCTCCAACTTCTAATTTGGTATAAATATTTTTATACTTGCAGAAACAGTTGAAAGAACAGAATAATAAACATCCATAGACTGCCTTCTGCAACCACCTGGATCCCTACATTGTTAACAATTTGCCGTTTTTGTGTGACCTTTCTGACTATATAATCTTACTTTTATTGTTGCAGGTGAAACTATTTAAAAATATACTGTGGGTGCCATGAACTTTTACCATTAAATGTAACTCTTTTGCAGAGTCAGAGTAGGAACTTTAAATCCACATATTCTGATTCTAGCTGGGGAACTCCACCCTTTGTGCATGTGTGGAAAGATCATGGCTCAGTATTAGGATTAGGCAGGAGAATGGACTTGAGCCATTCATTTTCTTATCATTCATACACAAAAAGTTGGAGTCCAGCGTTTCAAATGTGGCTTTAAAGTCCTGGTTCTGACACCAGCCTCCAGTGTGATTTCAGGTGAGTTGTATAGCCTCTGTGGCTTGATTTTTGTCACTGTAATTGAAGGGGTTTGGACTAGATCAGTTAGTGGTTCTCAGCCCTGGCATCACATTAGAACCACCTGTGAGCTTTAAATGAATTAGTCTTGAGTGGATCCTGGGTGTGGCCAACTTAAAGAGCTCCCTGGATAATTTTAATGTGAAGCCTGGGTAGAGAATTGTTGGACGAAGTGGTCTCTGGAGAGCCTTCTAGTTCTGCCCTTCTGTGGTTCTGAGAGCAATAGTGGTTTGCTCTTGAACCAGACTACCTCCTCTCCCCATGCACAGACTAAACGTATCTGACACCTCTCCTTGTGTTTGCTGCTGCAGTTCCCATGCATGGGTGGTATCAAGAACCACGATGCTGGATGGAAGTTACAGTGAATCGGAAGCCAACAGCCTGGCTGGGTACCCAAGAAGGCACAATCTGACAGAAGAAGAAAGACAAGACAAAATAGTGGTCCACCTGGGTCTGAGCAATGAATCCAACTCCTCCAGGAAGAAGGGGCTTCTGAAGGGCCAGATGGGTCTTCGCATCTTCCAGAACACTCATGCCATTAACAAATACTCCAGGTTGATATTTCCTGCTGCCTATATATTTTTCAACTTAATTTATTGGTCAGTGTTTTCTTAGGGCTCTGAAGCTTTGCCGAGGTGTAGAAAACTAGGAGGCATGGCTAATCATAGGCCTATTGAACATGTCCCCTCATTAGACAGAGTGACAGCTCCTAGACCACCTGAGCAGGGTCCCTCTCAGAGGAGTCCAGGAACCCTCCAGCTGCCCTCCCCTGGACCTCATGGATTTGATTCTCATTCATGCTGTGTTGCACCTTATGCCTCTCTGGGTTTGTCTTCTGTGGTTCTTGTGTGAACAAATTCACAAGAGGCTCCCTCCTATTAAAACAAAACAAATAAACACAAAACAAACCTCAAATGCTGCCCAAATGTATGACACCCTTATGGATCCCAGGATTCAGTTGTAGAGGGGAAAAGGAACATAAAGGGTAAACTTAGGAGCATTCTGCATAGGAGATAGGATATTTGGATTCAAAATAGGAATAAATATATTTGTGAACCACCATAACTGGATTTATTGTTTACCTAAGAAGGGAAAAACCTCAGAAATTAGATTGGAAATTACTTGGCCTGCATGAGTCTGGCAGCCCACATGATTTTACAATATTAGGGGACATTGTTCATTCATTCATTCATCTACTCGACCAGTTAGTAAATGTTGAGTACCCACCCTCTGCCGGCTACTGTGGAATTGAATAAATAGATGAGACTGGGCATTCTGGGGTGGTGCTGTAGGATAAGCACTGGACTGAAAGGTTGGTTTGAACTGCAAGCTTGGTGGTTCAAACTCACCAGCTGCTCCTCAGAAATCCTATACAGGGTCACTATGGGTCAGAACTGACTCAATGGCCCTTAACAACAATATCTAGAAACTCCCTTAGGCTACAATACTGCTCAATGAATGATGATTATATTGCCATTGCTTTGGTTATAAGTCTTATTTTATTCCACGACTACTCTGTCTCTGACTACAATGTCTTATAGAATGGATTTCCTGTTCACAATTTAAAAACAAGATGTAAATAGCCAGAAATATCCCCATAGAAAGTTTGTAAGTCCATCTTCTGCCTATAACTAATTGGAATACCTAAAATGGGGCTACAACTTGCCCAGTGAAGGAGGCTTCCTGTGGAGCCTTTGTATTACATAAGACCATAGGTGGAATCCTGAACCCCATCCAGAATCTTCTGAGGTGGGAAATCTCCACTTGAAAGAACAAGCAGACCAGCCTGGAGCAGGTAGAAGAACAGAAGATACTTCTTGAAAGAAAGACTGACAGGAAAATAAAAAATAATAACAGCAGTCCGACTGACTACTACAAGAACAAACAAGTTGCTCGCCCAGGAGAAATCAAGGCAAGTGGTTAGATCCCCTTAGGACAAACACCCTTTCAAGACTAAGACTCAAGGGGAATACATAAACAGGCATGCGGTCTGGCTGGTGACCTCATTGGTCACCGATAAGGGAAAGTGAGGGAAAAATAGCAATGAAGCTATGAGTTAAGTTTGACCACGTTCAACAGACTCCTGTGAACCTGGGTGGAGACCTCGTTGACCAGCAGTATGGCAAGACCTGGGGATTCCTGGGCCCAGAGTCAGTGACACAGCCACAAAGGACTAGAGCAGAGAGTGACGTGTCCAGCTGATAAGAAAAGAGGGCATATGCATGAGAACACCCACACTTGCAGATAATACCCCCTTGACCTGGCTTCAATGGCTAGATGATTCTTGACTAGAAGAAGAAAGAAGAGGAAAAAAAAAAAAAAAAGCGTGATCTGACACAATTTGATGAACTTGACCTACGCCTATGGATGCAGTATCTCAAAAGAGGGAACAAATCTGTACAGTGAGGATCATTCCCACCCCCTCGGTACACAAGGTAGACAGAGATGGGAAACTTGAACATTGTCTACCCAAAATAGGGGGACTACAAAGGCAAGAAATGACTGGCTTACAAGCTTTCAAGAGGGAACCTAAATCCAGAGGGCGTGGAGGAAGGTAGAATCTCCACTAAGTAGTATCCAATCTGTCTGGGTGGGGCTGATGAAAGGAGATAGGACTCTTGTGGTACAATAGTGAATAATTGCTATCAGGATGACTGTGAGGGTTGGAAATGTAAAGGTAGACGTTTTGTAGCAAAAGGAGGGGAGTGGTTGATTTTGCAGTCCAGGAACGGAAGTCCCTGGGACCATCAAGGGAGAAGAGCAGACTGTGGGACCCTACCCAGAGAAACAGTGATGCCAGAGATAGAGGCAGAGACAATGACGTGGAGAGATGGGGTAGTTGGGGACTCTAGACCCAGAGAGGGAGAGGGGCTGTGTGCTGACAATGAGGCAGGCTTTCGGGGTATACCCTTTGGTTGTTGGATGATGCATGGAGGGGATTATAATCATGGCAATGAAACAATATACGATAGGATGAATGTAAAGCTAATGTTCTCCCATGTAAACTATCACATAATTAAAAAAAAAACAAACCAAGGTGTATTTTGGCTGATTTGTAAATTTAACTGGAGCTAATTCTATAGCAAACATATTCAGAACCATAAACAATGTTTGATTGTGTAGGAACCATGATACAATGACACAATTGTAGTTAGCATTGCCTTTTTACAGTATAGTGGCCTGGTGACTCCATAAGATCAGCCCTGGACTTTGAACCACAAGGTTATTGGTTTCAGGCCACCATTCCCTCAAGGGAAGAAAGATGAAATTGCCTGCTTCCACAAAGATTTGTAGCCTTGGAATATAGGGTCACCATGAGTCAGAACCAACTCAATGGCACTTAACAACAATAACAACAAAGATAAGTCAACATGAGGTGTAGACAATGGGAACTAAGGAATATGAATGATTTCTCCTAAAGTCAGGAAGACAGAGGAGCAAACATAATGTTTGAATGATACTTATTTCACTGTGGCGCTGTAGGATGAGCACTGGACTGCAAGGCCAATTTGAATCATGAGGTCGGAAGTTCAAACTCACCAGTTGCTCCTCTGAAACCCTATATAGAATTACTATGAGTTGGAACCAACTCAACAGCTCTCAACAACAACAAGACAATGCTTACTGCAAGGTTGGCAGTTCAAACCCACTAGCCACTACTTGGAAACCCTATACAGGGACACTATGAATTGGAACTGACGTGGCGGCACTTAACAAAAATAAGAAAGAGAAAGAGTCCTGGTGTGGTGTTGTAGGATCAGCACTGGTCTTCCAACCGCAAGGTCAGTGGTTCAAACCTACCAGCTGCTCCTCGGAAACCCTATACAGGGTTGCTATAAGTTAGAGCCCACTCAACAGCACTTAACAACAAAGAGAAAGAAAAAATATCCTGCTAATCAAATTATGGCTTTTGATTATAAGCTCTGCTTTCACTAATATTAAATAGTGAAAATATGGCATAAAAGAAATAGGTATTATACAGTAAACTGGTGATGAGGCATATTTATTGATGCCAAAGAACCAGAATTGATTAAGCACGTGTTTCCAAGGTCCTCTACTGGAGTGGGGATGGGGCAGCTGCAGATACAGAAATGAATGAGAATCACCTTTCAGTCATCAAGTCAACACTTAGACAGTCATGGGACGGAAGGAGAGACCACAGAATTGGAGGAGTATGTGCTGTCTTTGGGAATTCTGAAAAATGGATAGATATAATTTCAACTAGTAGAAAAGGAGGGAAGGGGATCATAACATTGTAACCCCTAATAAGGGTTTGTGTCTTGGAGGAGTGGAGCCAAATTCACCAACTGCAAGGTAGAGAGAAAAAGACAGTTTTATTAGAAGGTGGCACCAGTGGGATTCTGACTGCAATGTGGGCTGTCAAAATGGAGCTCCCTTTGTGATCACACTACAGAGTCTATATACTGAAAGCAAAGAGGACTTAAAATATTTACTGATGAAGATCAAAGGTCACAGCCTCTGGCATGGGTTGTACCTCAATGTAAAGAAAAAAAAAAAAAATCCTCACCACTGTATCAATAAATAGCATCACGGTAAATGGAGAAAAGATTGAAGTTGTCAGAGTCTTCATTTTGCTCTGATCCACAATCAACACTCATGAAAAGAGAGTCAAGAAATCAAACGGCATATTGCATTAGGAAAATCTGCTGCACATGACACCTTTAAAGTGTTCAAGAGCAAACATGTCAGTTTGAGGACTAAGGTGCCCCTGACCCAACCATAGTATTTTCAGTAAACTCATATACATGTGAAAGTTGAACAATGAATAAGGAAGACCATAGAAGAATTGATACATCTGAGTTATGATGTTGGGGAAGAACACCATGCTTGGTAAAGTGAAGGATCAGCATAAAAGAGGAAGACCCCCAATGAGATGGAACAGCACAGTGGCAGCAGCAATGGGCTCAAGCATTACAATTGTGAGGATGGTGAAGAACTGGGCAGTGTTTCATTCTGTTGGGCATGGGGTTGCTATGAGTCAGAACCAACTGGACAGCACCTAACAACATCATACTTTTACACTGGAATGCACACTCGGGTGGAGTTACACACTTTCCCAGCTGCTTTCCATTACTCAAGTTACCAGGTAGTCACAAAGCTGTAAACGTCCACCATGACAATCAGATAAAACAATACAAGTAGCATTTGTGACGCATAAGCAATCTTCTTTTATGTCTTAACCACCCTCCAGGCAGCATTGTCCAGATGGTCCCACACAATACGTCTGTCCTTAACCAATAGAGAAAGTAATAAAAATTCCACAGAGGTTGGGGTGACCAAGACAAACATGGCTGAGTTAGGCTAACTCCGAAACATGTTGTTAAGTTAATGATGGGCGAGAGTATTTTAATAGGTTACAGCATGACAGAGGAAAGTTTGGGATATGTTCAGAAGGCAATGAGTATGCACTCTACCGAATGGATAAAGGGATAAGGTTGGAAAATTATACTTGCAAGTAATAATCTTTGGGAAAATTGATTTGCCAACAGAATTTAAGCTGGTGTGTTTTAAAACCCCTTTAATTGCTAGTGTTTTAGGAACAGAAAGAGACCTCATCTTCAAATATATAAATAGTATAGAGATTCTTTATGAAG